AAAGAGCTTCTGCCCCCCCTTCTCGAATGGTATGGTTGTTGTGTGTTTTTAAATTGTGTATTGTTTGTTTGTCTTTGTTATCCCGTTTGTACCTCCTTTCCCTTGACTGAGTTGTGAGCCACCCTGAGTCCCCTTTGGGGAAAAGGGCAGCATATAAATGAAATAAATCCTAATCCTAATCCTAATCCTAATCCTAATGAGCAGACATTCAGCATGTTAGTAATTCTTCTGTGTTGCACTAGCCATAAATATATTTGAGCTATAATTGTGTATAGAGGAGCACAAAGGGTCAAGTCTCTGAACAGAAGGTTACACACACATAAAAGTTGGAAGAGCCAAGGTTGGCTGAGCAGTTTTTGAAGTCAAATAATCCTGCTATCTACGGCAAGACCATAAGATGGCAGTCCAATGCAAGATTCCAATGAGTTTGTTTTCGATTCGTAATAACATAAAGTAAAAAGGATAGATGGAGTTTCAAGAGACTGGTGTATATTTTTGTAGCCTATAAAATATATTAAAGATTCATAAGCATCAAGTTCGAGATTTGCTGCACATTGGACCACTGGACCCACCAAATCTATTCATTTTATCATTGTGTTTTCCAGAGTTCATTTTCTGTTCTTGCATCAGTGTGCAAATGCTTAACATACATGTGGCATGAACTTTGTTGTAACTTTCACGTATTTTCCTCTCCTACAAGTGTTCCCTGCAAACGATTCCCCCTACTATCTGCTTTCCCAGTTGCTATTTACTCAGATATTTCCATGCATTTTCTTCATCAGAGAAGTATATATCCCAATCCCAAGGACCAAATTATGAGTGCAGTCTGATTCAAACTGGACTGAAACCATGTCCTCCCTCCTATTGTGATCTCCACCAGGCTGTTTCCTAAAGTGTTTTCCAGGTGGTTTCAGAAATTACCTGCCTTTCGATTCATTTTTACACCTTACCTTTCTTTTTCTCTTTTTTGGAAGTCTGTGGCTTGAGCGGGGTTTGCTGCTGGGCAGTTGGTTGTTGACTGTTGACACTGACTGTTTCTGCTTCACTTGACATGGTGAGAGGCCAGCTTCACTTCCAAAGACAAAGACCGGGCTTAATAATAAAATCTGATCTCCAGTTCCTGGTCCTCAGAGGACAAGCATACCACTCTGACCTTCAGAAGAGAAAATGAATTGATTTATTTCAGTGTGTGTTGCATTCAAGGGGGAAGGAGCAACTCAAAAGTAGATTTGTGTTGTTTAATGATCTCCACTTGGAAGTAAATGTCTGATCTGGTAAACCTCCATTCTTACCATATGGATGTTCTAGGCAGCAAGTGGTTCCCAACCAGCAAAAAATTCAGTTCCTTTCAAGTATGGCAGGATGTGGAGCAGAAACCTGTCTACTCCAAAACAATGCAGCTCAATGGTCCCCCAGAATCAGTGGTAAAGAAAATCCAGATTCAGATTCACTCTTAACAAGCTCTATGGTAAATTTTCTGGATCAATGTTCGAAATTAGCATCTTTTATAGCTTTCTGGTTTTTTGAGCTTCATGTTCGAAATTAGAACATGGAGCTCAAAATAACAGAAAGCTATAAAAGATGTTTTACGTCAAGATAGTCCATCTCACTTCNAATCATACTTGACTGGGTCTATACATTATCCTAAGCAAAAATCCAATGAGCTGCATTATAGTCTAACATGTATTTTGAATTACTAGTACCAAAGATCGAGAAAGCTAAGTTCTCCTGAATAAGTCATATATGCCAATCATAGAACCAGAAATTCCATATACTGTTATGAGGGTCAAAAGTATCGTATTTCCCTGAAAATAAGACCTCCCCGGATAATAAGCCCAATTGGGCTTTTGAGCGCATGCACTAAAATAAACCCTCCCCTGAAAATAAGCCCTCCCTGAAAATATTGCAACACAGCAGCAGCCATAAGGTGACCACACTTGCCGCCTCCTGCACTTCAAAAATAATAAGATCTCCCTGAAAATAAGGCCATGCATTTATTTCAGGAGTCAAAAGAAAATAAGACCCTGTCTTATTTTCAGGGAAACAATTTATTTAATGTAAGAGAAGTTACATGTCAGTTTAGAACAAGGAATATAGGACAAGAAGTCAGATAGTGATTGAAGATGTTACAGTAGTTGCTTTTCCTTCAACCCATCAAAAGAAGTGATTCAATGTTAGTTCCTCATTTGCTGTTTGCAAATCAGAGCTAAGCCAATTTTACAGAGTGATTCACAAAGTTCAGCAAGTGTTTGCAGGCAGGTAACGTTTTTAAAGTTAAGAACAGGATATACTTAATCCAGGTGCATAATTACTTTCTCCATTCTAACATGGCCATTTCACTTTATTGATGCAACTCCAGCTTCAGTTTAGACTAGGGAATCTCCAACCTTGGCAACTTTAAGATTTGTGGACTTCAACTCCCAGAATTCCTCAGCCAGCAAAGCTGGAATTCTGGGAGTTGAAGTCCACAAGTCTTAAAGTTGCCAAGGTTGGAGACCCCCTGATTTAGACACAGTGCTTGAGAGTAATAAAGATGTAGAGTGAAAACTAACCTTCCCTTGTTTCAATAAGCAGGTAGGCCTCTAAACAGAATCGGATTCCCCTATTGGACATAGAACTCACCCCAGTCTTTTCATCCATGATCTTGATTCCAGCAAGAGAGATGTTCACCCATACTTTCTGCTTGTGCTGTCCCTGGGAACGGGCTGCAACTGCCATTCCCTAGTAATCAAAAGCCAGCATATTATATAAAATAATAAAAAATAAAATAAAATAAAATACAAAATAATAAAATAAAATAGTAAAAAAGTGTCGTTATTCAAATCAATTTACTTCACTTTGCATTTTTTTTCTTAAAAGAGCATGAAAAAACCATTTTGGTCTTTTAGTGGTTTCTTCCCCCCCTCAAAAAAATGAAGCCACAAAGTTAAGAAACTGCCTGTCTTGGCTGGCTGGATCCAATACACCCTTTCATTTTTGCATTCCTGATGGATTGGGATGCAGCATAATGAACTCTCACTTTTCAAAATATGGCGATTTATCAACATTTTTGACCTATGTTACAAAAAACACAAGCCTTGAATCGTACTTTCTCTGGCCCAGTAAACAAAGCTTTCTGATGGAAAATATGAAGAAAAGCCAGAAAGTTGAATACAATTTATACAAGACTCAAAACACTTGTTCTAGCAAGGTTTCTATTTGTTTTTAATTTTGTGGAAATTCTAGATATTTTTCTCTTCTTCGAACACTTGTTTGATAAAAGTCACAAACATGACTTGGTCCATCTCCAAATTATGTCTTGTCAAGATGCAATAATGAATAGCTCAAAAAATTCTGGTAAATCTAGATTTGCAAACACACCCTGTTCACTGTCAATGACCCATCAGTATCCCTAACAGAGCACTGATGGGGTTACCTAGTTGGGTAATGAAATGCCTGCAAGAAAACAATCAAGCTCAGAGACCACCAAGGACCTACTATCCCATCATCTCCAATGCTAGAGATGGTCTTCTTAGACAAAAAGCCGTATCTATGTACATGATAGGACATCATCTATAAGTTTAAGATGACTTAAATTTGCAAGGAATGAGTCAAACCTACCTTTAATTTCATCATTGAATCTTGGCTCATTTTGTCTCCTCTTGCTTCTGGAACATCATCAATACCAATCAATTTGGCCTTGTACTTTACCCCATCTCCTTGAAATCTGGCCAAAAGGAATTCCTCTGTCTTTTCCAATCCTGAAAAGCCAGTTTAACTCATGTAAGCCCATCTGAACTCTTGCTGTGGCTACAGATAACAGAGTACAGTATGCATTTTATCACAGCCAGTGCCCCTGATCGGTGTATTGTATTGCACAAGTTATTAGCACTTCTTCTGGATGCAATAAAGCCCTTCATGGTATTGGACCTGGGTGCTTGAGAGACTGCCTGTTGCCAATTACCTCCAATAGACCGATTAGATCCCACAGATTAGGCCTCCTCCGAATTCCATCCGCTGGCCAATGCCGACTGGCGACTACCCGGAGGAGAGCCTTCTCTGTGGCTGCTCCGACCCTCTGGAACGAACTCCCCGTGGAGATTCGAACCCTCACCACCCTCCAGGCCTTCCGCAAAGCCCTTAAAACCTGGCTGTTCCGACAGGCCTGGGGCTTAAGAGCTGTTGCCCCCCCGTCTCGAATGGTATGACTGTTGTGTGTTTTTAAATTGTGCATTGTTATGTTTTGTTTTATTTTTTGTCTGTACCCATTTTCCCTGATTTGAATTGTGAGCCACCCTGAGGCCCCTTCGGGGGGAAAGGGCGGCATACAAATATAATCAATCAATCAATCAATCAATCAAT